GCACCCATATTGGAAAACAGTATGAGAGTTCCCCAAAAAATTAAACATAGAGTTCCCATATGATTTAGCACTTTTACTCCTAGGTATATACCCAGGATAAATGAAAACATGCCCACACAAAAATGTACACAAATGTTTATAGCAGCATTATTCATAATAGCCAAAGATGGAAATAACACAAATGTTTAGTGGTGTATCCATACAATGGAATATTATTTAGGAATAAAAAGGAATGAAATGCTGATATATACTACAGTTTGAATGAACCTGGAAAACATTAACCTAAGAGATAAAAGCCAACCACAAAAATCCACATATTACCTGATTCTATTCATATAAAAGCCCAGAACAGGGAAATCTGTAGAGACAGAGGTAGATGAGTGGTTGCTTGATTGGGGGTAAGGGGTGGGATGGGGAGGATGGGGGATGATCACTAAAGCATGCAGTGTTTCTTTTTGAAGTGATGAAATGTTTTAAAATTGGCTATGATGATAGGTGCACATATCCAAATATACTAAAAACCATTGAATTGTACACTTTAAGTGGGTGAACTATATGGTATGTGAATTACATCTCAATTAAGCTATTAAAAAAAGAATAAGGGAGATCTTTGTGTACTAACGTAACTCCAAAATATTTTATTTTAAAAAATAGATGCAGGAGGGGAAAAAGAATTATTGCATATCCTGTATATGGTGGCGGTTACATGAATTGATAAATGTGTCAAAATTCATAGAATGTAAAGAAAATTTTATTATATGATGTAAAACAATAAAATCTTTTTAAAAATACCACAGAAATTGACAGAGGAGAGGGATTAATTGTCACCAAGAGTCAGTAGTCCTGATGGTAGACATCAGGGAAGTCTTCAAAAAGAAAGTCACATTTGAGAATACCTTGAAGGATGGTTTGGCTCTGGACAGGTATTTAAGGAGAGGTTTGCTAAAGACAGGAAAACCATTTCAGACAATGTTAACAATGGCCAGAAGTACAGGGAGGGAATTCCTGACTATCTGGGGAGCATTAATTGTTTAGTTCTGCTGAAAGGAAGGATACATACAGGTCTACATAGAGCCAGGTTGTGTATTTCCTTGCGTGTCTGGTTTGGAACTGAACACTTTATTATATAGTCAATGGCCCATCAAAGGTAATTGATCATAACTCTACCTTTGGGATATTATTCTATAAGAACTAAAAATAAGTAAGATGGGGGCCGGCCAAGTGGCGCGTTGGTTAAGAGCTGGCTTGGGACGCCAGAGGGCCCCGGTTCGGATCCCACATATGAGGGCCAGTGACACTGCCCTCTACAGCTAAGATGCTGAACAACAGCTCAACCTGGAGCTGGGCTGCTGTGAGTCATTGGCGACGGCGTACGCTGCAGCCCCTGTGGCAATGGGTTGCCATGGGCTACCGTGTGTAGCCAGCAGCCAGCGTGAGTGGCCAGCAGCCGCAGTGAGCAGCCGTCCAGAAGCCAGCGACTGATCTGCATTGAAGAGCGCAATGATGGTGCCAACTTGGGCCAGTGAGGCGGTGTCCTCCACAACTAGACTGAAGAACAAAACAACAGCAACTTGTCTGTTCCCCTTCCCCCAATTCCCCAATAAAATAAATAAATAAGATGGAGGCTAGTTAGAAGGCTGATACGTTAATTCAGTCAGGTGAGAATGAAGGAGTAATATAGGTAGTGGGAGTCAGAGAGAGAGATGGGACCAATACTGTGAAGAACATGGTAGCTGGCTGCGGAGAGAGAGAAAGTCCAAAAATTGACTCTTAGGTTTGTAATCTAAGTGACTGTGGTAATAGTACTATTAAGGAAGGAAGGAAAACCAGAGAAGTTGATGAGTTTAGTCTGGGATTTGTTTAGTTTATGGAGCTTGGAAACTCTAAATCAGATTCATGGCAGCTGGAGGGAGCCATGTAATAGAGCAGAAAGAGCATTTGGCCTGTTCCTTCATCTATAAAAGCACGAGTTGGATTCGAAAGGCAGTATTTATAGTGACTGAGAGCAAAGGTTTTGGAGACAAACTTGCCTGGTTCAGCTACACACTAGCCTTTTAAAAAAAAAAAGATTTTTATTGGCAAATTGGGGGATGGGAACAGCGCTGGGGAATTGGGGGAAGGGGGGGGAACAGACAAGTTGCTGTCGTTTTGTTCTTCAGTCTAGTTGTGGAGGACGTTGCTTCACTGGCCCAAGTTGGCACCATCATTGTGCTCTTCCCGGGCGAGGCAGATCAGTCGCCGGCTTCTGGATGGCCACTCACTGCAGCTGCTGGCCACTCACTCTGGCTGCTGGCTACACACGGTAGCCCATGGCAACCCACCTGCCGTTGCCAGGGACTCACGGCAGCCCAGCTCCAGGTTGAGCTGTTGTTCAGCATCTTAGCTGTAGGAGGCAGTGTCACTGGCCCTCATATGTGGGATCCGAACCGGGGCCCTCTGGCGTCCCAAGCCAGTTCTTAACCAACGCGCCACTCAGCCTAGCCTTTTCATCTAAGACGTGTTATTTATTCTCTCTGGGCCTTAGATAATGTAAAAGGGAATAATAATTATATATCTACTTACTACACACACACACACACACACACACACACACACACCCTTATCTAGAACAATGCCTGGTCCATAGTAAGCTTATTATCTAGATGAAGTCCTTTTCAGGACTTCATGACCTATCGTATTACATGGTCAGTGCCTGTCAGCCTGGCATTCCACGCTAGAGGTCAGGACCACAGGTATATAGTTAATCATTTCTTTCCTAAGGTAGCACTGAACAGATGGCATGAGATACCAAAGGAGAAAAAAGAAAGAACATGAATTGCAAGGACAGAATGTTGAACATTATATTAGGGAGCAAGAGAGAGGAGCATACAGGAGGGGCCAGTGAAGAAACATTCAGAGGAAGAGGGAAAACTAGGCGATACTGTCATGAAAGCCACGTGGGATGGAAACGACAGCTCAAGGGAAGATGGTCATTTAAAGTAGAGACCACTTGAGCTAAACTTGAAGGTTTATGGGATATATCTGATAGACAGGGAGAAATTCAAGATGAAAGCAAAGGAAATTAATTGATGGAGCATAGTTCTGTGAGGATTCAAGAAGGAAGATGGTTCCTTTCTTTGAATTGGGCTAGAAGAAGGGAAGGCTATATGATGATACAGTCGAATTTGGAGTTGGGAAGCTTGGAACTCAGGGAAGCTCATGTTGGATAACTTCAGGGGGTTTTTTTCCCATAAAATAGAAAGTGAGGTCATTTGGAAAGAGGAAGGTAGGGAATAAAATTGAAGCATGTTTCTAAGCAGCTTTAAATATTTTCTCTAATTCTTTCCTTTGTATGAATGCAAAACAAATGATCCATGTCAATTGGGTTGTCAGAAAAGTCTTGACGCATTTTTGCAACAAAAAACAAAAAATATGTCATGACTTTTCTGACAACCCAATATAATAGGTAATCTTTACTGAGCCTTTAATATCTGCCAGGTATCTTGCTAAGAGCTTAAATCCCTAACAGGCAAATGATATTAGTAGTATTATTCCCATATTGCAGAAGTTAATGCTTGAGACAGAGAAAAAATTGGAAATTGCTCAAGGTTACCCAGCTAATAGGAGGTGGGACCAAGATTTGAATACCAGATCTGCCTAACTCAGAGTTCTTCACAATCATGCTTTTCTAAGGTTTTACTTTCAAATTTCATTAAAGCAGTAAAATACTGGTTCAAGAATATACATGAATTAATTGGATAGGATATAAAGTATAGGAAACTAGTCTATTTATACAATGGAAAATAATAAAGTTAACATTTTTAATTAATGGAAAAAGGATGGCTTGTTTGATAAATGCATGGGGCAATTATCCATTTTTAAATTTTTTAATTAATTTTGATCCCATAGTTTAAAATATATATAATAGAAATCAGAACAGTGGTTGTCTACAGCAAGGTAGAGTTTGACTTAGGGGCACAAGGGAACTTTCTAGGGTAATAGCAGCGTTCTATAATTTTAGTAAAATGTTGGTTACATGGGTTTTGGGGGGAGGTTTTTTTTTTGTCAAAACTCATTGAATTGTGCATTTAAAATCTGTACATTCCACTCTTTGTAAATTTTATCTCCATTTTTAAAAAGGGAAATCTATATGTAGATCTCCAAGACATTGTTAAATGAAAAAAAAGCAAGCTATAGAATGAGACATACAATATAGCACCATTTATTTAGAGAGAAAACAAGAAATAATTGCCACTGAACAAAATGATCTCTGTGGATCTACACTCTTTTTTTTTTTTTTTGAGTGGCAACTTCACGACTTTTATTTGTGGTGCCTGTGTTTTGTTTTGTTTTTTTTTTGGATCTACACTCTTGTATGTAAATGTCTCATGGTTCTTGGGTCCAACTACCCTATTCTACCAATAAATTCTTCTGGTGTCTTATATGCTCATAGGGTTTCTTTTGAGGGTACAAAGGAAAGACTTTTATATTAAAACATCATTAATTTAAGAGTAGATTTCCCCACTATTTATAATACTCTTTGGTATAATATTCTCCAATGAAGAAAGATATTCTCTTTCAGGAAATTCTAACTAAAAAACATGACTTGTTTGTATAATGATTTGAGACTGCTGGGTTGTCAGAAAAGTCATGACGCATTTTTGCAATGAAAAACATAGAAAAAATACATCATGACTTTTCCGACAACCCAGTAGTATATTTTAAGAGGCAGGTGACTACAGTGAAACTGTCGTTGAACTAAAAGTAGTCAGGGGATCTGAATTCCGGTTCTGACTCTGCCACTGCTTAAATGACTTGCTCCAAAATACCCATCTGATCTCTCTGAGCTTCCGTTTCCTTGTTGGTTCAATAAATGGAGTGGACTGATGACTGAGGGCCCTTCCAGGCCTAAGATTCAGTAAACCCTGTTCATTCACACGGACCTTATATGAAATAGGTCACTTGAGCTACAGCAGGTATGTGGAAAGTAAGATTTTCTTTGTTTTTATATTTTGAAACAGGTAACAACCAAAGCCAAGCAACTGAAGGATTCAGTTACCTCCTCCCCAGGTGAGTTAGCACCCACCTCACCCCATTAATCTAAAGCCGTTTTTTCCAAGTAAATCCCTTTTTATAACAACTTCTTTAAATACAAAGGTGGTGTAGCTTTGCCCAGTGAGGTCTACTGGTCATATGTCTACAAGGGGGACTGATCGCAGGCACCAACGAGCCCACCCAGCCCTGCACATACAGTGGGTGCTGAGATGTAGTTAATAAGTTTAAAGAACTATAAAAACCTTGTTGTTCTCTGGTCCTGGGGGGTGGGGGCCGCAGGGGAGGCCAGTCCGTGCACCACACAAATGCCCCGTGCACAGTTTCCCCCACCACCCACCCCACCGTCACCACACACCACGCAGACCTGTCCTTCAGCACAGACAGCAGCAGCTCTCCCACGGCTGTTTCTCCAAATCTGTTTCCTTCAAGACTAACTGGAATCTTGTTAGCATCTCCATACTGTTTGCTTGGAGCCACAAAGTAAGAAAGTGCCTCCTAAACCTCCCAACGTAAATACTACAGGTCCCAGGAAGAGCAGTGCAGGTGAGTAAAACCTGAAACAGCCAAACGTCATCCCCAGGAAGGAGCCATCTTGGCGTTCTGCAGGCTATATGGAAGAGGGCGTTGCCAGGTTCCTTTTCTATCAATAAAGTTATGTCTCTACGCGTGGAGACAGAAATAGGCGAGGAGCTGTTAACGTGAAAGAAACAGACCTTCAAGAGCTTCTCCAAAAATGTATCCTGAAAAGGCAGTGTTGTTGTATTGCAGGCAGGCAGACGTGGACCAGACTGGAGCATTGGTGGAGGGTGGGGAAGTATTGTGACGAGAACAGGAAACGTAGGAGAGTATGTAAGGGTGTCTCTGAGATGGCACCTGTGGCTGGGAGACGAGCTGGTTTGCCCTTGGCTGTTGAGCAGTGAAATGAACAGGCAAACAGAGAGCAGGTCCCACCAGTGCCCATGGTCACCTGCAGACGGTAAGCCGGCATAGGGTGTGACGGGGTCATTTTAGTCATGCTCATGGAATTAATAACAACTCTGGGTTGTGAAAAACAACCTTCTTTACCTAAAAAGTGGCAGGTGGTTCCTTCTCAGCGAGATCTCTGCATCCTTTGATCATAGCCTGGTCCCATCTACACCCGCTGCTCCTCAGGGGTGGGAAGGCAGAGACTTGGAATGAGGCAGAACTGGGTTCAGATCCCACCACCTCTGCTGCTTTCCGAGACTGATGGCCCTCATCAGTACAGCTCAGATAATGATAGCTGTCCTTCTAGAGCAGTGTGAAAACTAAATAAAATAACATGGAAAGGGTCTAGGGCAGGGGTCAGCAAACTGCGGCTCTTTGGGTACGTTCAGTCTCGAAAGTTAGCCGACCCCTAGAAGAGCCAAACCTGTCCTTTGAAGTTTTGTAAGACCTATAAAACAAATGAAATCACCATTATGTGAATAATATCCTTTAAAAATTTTATAAATGAAACTAATAAGTTTTATTTTCATTTTCAGTTTTACTTCAGAGCCACATGTAGTACCCAGAGCTGCATGTTGTTTGCGAGCCACAGTTTGCTCATCCCTGGCGGCTTTTCCGTCAGAAAAGTTTGCCGACCCCTGGTCTAAGGCACTGTTTGGTGTGTGGGAGGGAGGCAGCCACTGGCACTCCTGTCGCCCGACATGACCTTGTCCTTTCATCTGTGTGATGTGCCCTTTCTCACAGGAATGGTTAGACTCTCTGAACTCAAATCAACAGCTCAGCATCCCAGGCCCGTCAAGACCACCGCAGCCTTGCCTGATGATATCATCACCCAGCGAGAATTCCTTGCAGAGGAGGCTGAGGAGGCTGAGGAGGAGGAGGAGGAGGAGGACAGAGGGGACAGCGAGGAGCGGGACGAGGAGCGGGACGAGGCTGGTGTGCAGGAGGCTGCGGCCCTGGACCATGGGCCGCGGCGGCGGAGGCCAGCCCGGCTGCCCGAGGAGCCAGCCAAGGCCGAGCCAGGGGAGAAGCCCCGTGGGAAGAGGCAGAAGGACTTCGCTGTATCAGAACAAAATACATCCAGCGATGAGGAAGGCCAGAAGAGGGAGAGAAGTCGCCCTGCAGAGCAGTCGTGGACTCAGAGTCAGCAGAAACTTCTGGAATTAGCATTACAGCAGTACCCGAAAGGATCCTCGGACCGCTGGGACAAAATAGCCAAATGTGTGCCGTCCAAGAGTAAGGTGGGTGAGGCGGGCCTAGAGGCCTTCACACTGGTTTTAGAATCACACTGAGGTGGCTGCAGCCCGTCCTGCCTAATTGTCCTCATGCTCCTGGTATCCTTCTGTCTCCAGCTGTCCACTCCATCTCGTTTACCAGTTACCTTCCCATGAGTGTGTCCCCTGAAAGCCTGTGGAATCTGTGCGCTCCATTGATTAGTGTGGACAAAGGAGAGTCTAAGCTGGATCATTATACAGACTAGGTAGTTGTCCTCAGAGAAAATTCCATGCATAGGACATCAGTCTTACCCTCGACCACCCTGCCAGGCCACAGAGCATTTGCTCCACTCGAGTGGCAGTTTGGGAGAAGCCCAGGGTGGCTGTCAGCGAGCGTCCTTGTCACCGTGAGGGCAGCAGAGCAGTGGCAGGTCCTCCATCACGGTCGGAGCTCCCTCTAACCAGAGTGAGGAGTCAGTGTCTCAAAATCACAAGCTCGTCTAGCTCTGCGACGAGCCTTTAACCAAGGGGACGTGTGTGGCAGATACTGTCGCCCTGTTCACCAGCAGCCCCACAGCAGCACTCGCTCTAGTTGACCCGAGACCCTGAGGCGTACTGTGTATAGGGTCAGGGTGCCCTCTTTATAATGGACTCTCCTTCTTACTTACAGCTCTTAGAATCTGCTTAAATACATCTGCACTTACTTCTCAAGTGAAAACTCAGACAGGCGGAGTATGGGTGTCCTGTGCAAAGCCAGCCCCGCCATGGACTTTGCTTTCTGCTGGGCCCGCGTGGAGCTGCCCTTCCCAGCGCCATATTTTCTACTCGGCCCTTTCCTGACACACAAAGTCTCCAGGGCTCTTTCCTCGTAGCCGGACCCTTAGTCTGAGGCACCAGGAACACTGAGAAATCAAAAGAACAATCTCTTCTGCCTTCTGTGCCTATCACTCAGTAGCCTCTGGGCACATTCATGTTCATTTACATTCTTTTTTTTTTTTTAATTGAAATTCAATGTTAGAAAATCTAGCTTGTGGCCATGAATGTCCCCATGTGTACAGGTCTAGTTATCTATCACCTACTTTAAAATGAGGAGGTCGAGAATTCCCGGGGAGAAAAATAAAACCATTAGCAGTTGATCTATTTGAGAAACACCGGTTTGCCAGAAGTATTGAGTTGTCGGAAAAGTCATGACACATTTTTGCAATGAAAAACATAGAAAAATACATCATGACTTTTCCGACAGCCTAATAGTTCCTTTGCCTGAATTTCTCTGGTATCTATCAGGACGCACGCATTTGCCATGTGTGATGACTTGACATTGGTTTAAAATGAAGGAGCTGGAACTCTAGATTCCTAAGGATAGGACACTCAAACTCATTTCCCTGGAAACCCTGTTTCAACCAGAAATCAGCAGCACTTTTACTGTCCTGTAGAAGTTCCGTTTAAGCCTTGACATTGGAACCAGGCCCCAGAGAGGTGATCTGCATGCTCGCCTGCTATGGAGTGACTCCCTGTAGGTGGCCTGCGAGCCCCTGGGAAACCTGAGCCTGGAGGAGGAGCCTGTGCCTGAGGTGCATGTGGGCTGCTTCTGGGAGCTCAGGGCCCACCTGTCCTTCAGGTGAGGCGCTGGGACTGGCCACGTCCCATGTCATGTGCTAGGCGGCACCTACAGGCAGCAGAGCCATTAAGGAAAGGCTGATGTTTTTAAAGAAGACCATAAGCAAGGCCTCTGGGGATGCAGAAAAGGCACTGATAAGGTATTCTCCTAATGCGACCAAGCTGAAGTCCTAGGAAAAAAACAAATATCCACTTTGTGTCCAAGGCAGCTGATAAAATCACCGGCTATGGAGTAGAAATCCGTCTGCTCTCACCTTCAGTTAGTCAAGGGTCATCACAGTGCCCTTGAGCCAGGTGTTTCTTTAATAGAAACAAATGGATTCTGGAAAGTGCCTTGTGATAACCATGGGAGTCACAAGGCCTGTAAGCTGGATTACCCCCTCTCTGCTTCAGTCATGAGTCCCCCCAAGGGGTGACGGGCAGGCAGCTGGGATCTGAAGCTAGTAGCTCTGTACCTGACAGGCTAGAAGGTTGAGGTGGGGCTGGGACAAGCAGGACAAGCTCCACACACTCCCTGTGGGTTTCCTGTGGGGCTGGGCTGACGTGGCCCACAGGCGGGTTCCAGCAGCCCTTAGGGAGAGGCAAACCCAAAGGAGAATAATATTGTGGATGCCTGGCCTCAAGTCTTTTGGTTTCTCTGAAGTGACATGTTGTGATGAAATAGTGAAATGTTAAAAATGATAATTATAGTTAGCAAGTTGAAACTCATAATCATACCAATGACAGTAGGCGTCACTAACAGCTGCCTCTGGCCCCCTCACCCCAGCGGTTCACAGCACACCTTAGGCTGGACGCCCAACTGGCCGTCGCCTTGCACCTGTCTAGCCTCGTCTGCCTGTGACCAGCTGGACTCACCTGGGATGTGCTAGGCAGGCTCTGTGCAAAGGGAATGGACACAAAGCCATCTAGCCCATTAGCACCGGCACAGCCAGCAAGCAGGCCCCACGCGCTTACCCCACGAAGGTCACACTGATGTCTGGAAGTAATTGTTTTCACCTCTCTTTTTCTCTTCCTACAGGAAGACTGTATCGCTAGATACAAGTTGCTGGTTGAACTGGTCCAAAAGAAAAAACAAGCTAAAAGCTGAATATTCTGGAAGATGATGTTCCTCTTCATTTTCCAAAATGGTCATTTTAAAACTCTTATGCAGAAATTTGCATTTTGTACCTCAGTATTTCTATACATCATGTGCCTTAGTACAAAAATAAAAAAAAAATAAAAAGAAATATTGTGCTATATTGTTTAAACACATACTGTGTGAAAGGAGAAAAAAAGATTGGGGTATTTTACAGATTGTTTTCTCATTACTGCAAAGTTTACTTTCACGGGGAACAAACTGAATAGTGCTTTCAAACAACCAGGCAAGTATATGATTTTAAAGGAACGTGAGTGTACTAACGTGTAAGAAGTAAAACGCAATGTGTTTCTTTGACCAAAGAACTCCCCAGCTAATGAGCTTTCTGGTAGCAGAATGCAGGTGCCCAGGGAAGGTAATATCACTGCTTTATACTATTAATTTTCATTGAACTCTCTCTCATTGTTTGTATTTGAACTGTCACCATCAGCTTTGCATTGCTGTCGTTTCTCGGGCTTGGAAATAGTTTCCTGAGTGCAAACTGCCAAAACTTACAACCATTCAGATTACCAGAACACATTTAAGGGAAGTGATTTGATAAAATATCTACAAAGATGTCATAATTCTCTAAGGTTAGTTTCCTGGAGAAAACTGGCTGTGGTCTCCTAGCTCTGCTGCTGGTCCTGTTACCTTCCCCCACCGAGGACAGCGCAGCTCCAGATAAGCCCCGAACCCATTCCCATGATGCCCGATTCTGACACAGCTCCCTGAGTGGGACGTTGTGGGGAACTTGCCACCTCAGAGACCTCAAAGAGAGCAGTTGTGTTACGGCCAAGTACGCGCTAACTGGTTCAGTGGGCATTTGGGTTTCGTGAACCAAGTCATCGCGCAGCCACTCGCTCCAGCCTCACGCTGGTTGGGAAGCAGAGCCTGCCTGGCCCACAGGTCAGCGCTGGGGACAGGAGGAGAGGCATGGAGCCAGTGCTGTCATAGTCTTCACCTTGTCCCAGCAGTGCTCACACCCCTTTCTAATAACAAACCAGAGCTGAGCCAGTCACGGGGATGGCACCGGGGCCACAGCTTCTAACCCCCAGGACTTTCTCCCCGAGCCAGCGGGGCTGGGAGGCGGTTACCGTGCACCCAGTCACATACGGGAGTCTCAGAGAAAACAACTTGTGCACAGAGGGCGTCCAGGGCGAGAGAAATAGCTTGTTCTGGCTGCGTGCCAGGCCCAGGTCCCGCTTTCCCCTGAGTACAGCTGCAGGCCTGTCTGCCATGCAGCTTGGGTGTCCAGCTTGTGACATTCTGAGCACCCTTCCATTAACTCACCCTTTTTACTTAACATTTCTGTCACACATACCCCAAATCCCATCACAAGTTTTAGGGCTGCCAGCATGGGACTCCAGTGTGCCTTATGAAGTAGTTTTTAGGATGTTCGCCTACTAACCTCATCTTTTCTAGACTCAAGAAAATGAGGCTCTGACCTGGTTTTCTACTGATGACTATCCCTGTCTGCCAGCTCCTTTAAAAGAAATTAGAAGGGCTGCCCTCTTGGGGGGACTCAGAGCTGCTGAGTTGTTGCGGTGGGACCAGGGGGTCGGGTGGGCAGGACTCAAGGAGCACAGCCCCAGCTAGGAGACCGTGGGGTTCTTGTGAGCGAGGTCATGGCCAAGAAAGCAAGGGCACCTCCAAAGGGGAGCACACCGCCCCGATCACATGGGGGCCAAAGCAGGGCTCCCAGGGCCCCTTCACTGCACTCGCTTCTCCAGGTCTCCACTCCCCAGAGAAGCTCTCCCGAAACCTGTCCCACCCTGTTACCTTACATATTAGCACTTCCAAGGCCTACCTGTGTGACATGAGGTACTATGTTTTACCTCTTCATCCCAATTCCTTGACTAGAAAAACAGGGACTAATGGTAGCATTTTATCTCACCCTGCCAGCTGGAACTCCACCCCCGAGGGGCCCTAGGTCACTGCATGGACTCCAGGGTGGGGTCTGAGAGCCCTTCCAAGGGTATGCAAAGTCTTCCATTTCGGGTGTGTAGTTTTCTGGGGAAAGGGTCCACACCTTTCACTAGGTGCCCCAAGGGCCACTCGCTCAAAAGGCCTCTGCTGCGGGGTACGCTGGTGTCGCCCATGGAGGGCTGGTGTGGCACCAGGGAAACCTCAGGCTTGGCTTTTGACAGGAAGAGGACTGCTGCTGCCTATGAACTGGGGGCCCTGGATTCGAGGCTCCTTTCCTGTCCGTCAAATGCAGACGCCAACATCCGAGCTGCCTCGGGGGGAAAGGCCTTCACTTCAGGGGCTGCCTGGCCCCGGTCCCTTTTTCCTCAGGTATGGCCTGAGGAAACTGCAGAGTTTTAGAATGAAACGCATCAAGTCTGGATCTTGGATCCAGTCTAGTGAGCGAGGAGAAGGACTGAGAGGTGCAGAGTGCCTGGATTGCTTGGGGTTCCTGCAGAGGCTGGAGGCAGATGGTGGGCACTGGGGGCACAGAGGCTATTTCCGCTGGATTTGGGAAGTGCTGGCCTGGCTCCCGGTACATCCTCTACAGACGAATCCTGTGCCAGCCACCTGCCCCCCCACCCCCACCCCCAGCATCACACAGCCAGGCGGGGGGCTGTGAGGGACCTAGGCTTCAGGGCCTCTGCCCTGGAGGACTGGGTCCTTAGTCCTGTAGTGACTTAGATTTACTTTCTCCACTGGGGCAAAATCTCTCAGCTACCAGGTCTTTAAACCATTTATAGCACCATTTTTTAAAGCCCATTCACACATTCTCATGTATCCTCACAAAACCCCTGACTGGCTGAACAGGTTCAGGCCTGGCAGCCAGCCCGCCCCCACTCCCAGGCACTGTCACCCACCCTGCAGGCCAAGCTGCCTTTCCCAGCCCCACCTGCGCCTCACATGCTTTGTGACTGAGAAAGGGGTGGCAGGTATTTGGGCCGCACTGCTTAGATTTCCAGCAGATACTGTGATTCTGTGAAATTTGCTCTGGGAGCTACCGAGCAGTCCTGCACCCATGACTCCAACTGGGCCACACGTGCCTGGCAAACATCCCGCCCGCTCGAGGCTGATCTGTCTCGACTGGAATATTGCAGCCAGTGGGTTCACTCTTTCACGGGGGTGGTTTCAAACTCCCTTCTCACTTTTTGAATAAAGTCATAATAAGCTTTCCACTGCAAATATCTCAGGTGTTGGATACCGTGAAAATGCCTCCTGCCACAGGACATTTTCTTGACATGTGCCAGTCCCTCACCCAGACCAAGCGCGCTTACCTTCCTGAGAGCTAATCCCTTTGGAGAGCTAATCCCTTTGGAGAGCTAATCCTTTTAATGTACCAACCCTTTCCTCCCTACCTACACCTATAGGGTATTTGTAGGGTTTGTTTTAGCAGTTAGATTTTTCCTAAAGTTTAACTGGCACAGTTTAAATTGTGATGTCTACACACATGGGGTGATCATATGTCCCAAGGTGCCCAGGACAGTCCCAGTTTATACCTCTCACGACACTGATTTGGACAGGATGTGGTCTGGTCACCTGTCTGAGGGATTTGCTAAAAGACAGCTGACCCCAGGGATCCTAGAGGGGTCCTGAATACCCCCAAGAGGACAGACGGCTAAGAGATTCAGCATTCTTTCTGTTGGTTTTTGGCTGAGGAAGCCACAAGGATGGAGGGCCTTTGCTGGTCCTGTCCCTCAGCTCCCCCTGAAGCACCCGCCCCACCAAGGGACACTGAGGCACAGGGACACACCTGAGTCAGGGCCCATCCTCACCAGCATTTTTTGAAACCAGCTGTTTCTGCCGTTTGTGTTCACAGGCCGCCCAGGCACCCACCCAAGGCCAGCCCTGTGGCCTCAGTTCCCTGGAGGCTGAGGTTCGGTGAGGCTTCTGATGGGGCCTCAGTCACTGCAGGACTTGGGCTAGTCAGGGCTTGTCATTTTGGCAAAAGCAGGCTTTTGATCTTCCACCTGAATTTTAAAGTCCCCTCCCCCCAAATGGCCCTAAAATAAAGCCAGCCTTCCAAACGACAGGCTGAGAAGTGGGCTGCACTGTCTCAGGTCTGAGGTCTCCCCGCAGACATGGATAGGTATTCTGGGGTTGGGCCAGGCCCACGGGAGAGAAGCAAGCCACCTCTGAGCGCACCCGCTCTCTGCAGGTCCCGCAGCTTCAAGGAGCTGCAAGAAAGCCCTTTGCAAATCAGAAAGGCGGTGGGTGGCCTGGGTCGGGGGTCGAACACGGAAAAGGGGGTCACTTGTAGCAGTGACCCACCTTGCTCCCTGCCGGAGCCATGCGTCAGATCCACCTGTGGCTGTGATCACAGCGTGGCCGTCCTGGCCTGGAAGCCACCCCACTGTCTTGGCAGAAGTCCCAGCCTCCTGTCTGAGTAAACTACTTGGCCTTCAGCCTTCGACTTTAGTCACTGGGGAGCTAAATTAACACGCTGTAAAACTGAGCTGCCACAGCTCTTTCCCTCCGGTCTGGAGGAAAACAATGGCTTCATGGAAGACAGAACAAGGGACACCGCTTAGCAATCTGATTCCCAGGGAAACTCCTAGTGCCTGAAAAGGCAGTGGCCACAGGAAACCTGGGGGACTGTTCCCAACGCTGGCATGTCCCCACGTAGCAGGTCTGAGGAGGAGCAGAACAAGACCCCCCTCCTTCCCTCCTGCACCCCCAGATGCCACCAGCACCCGGGCTGCTCTGCAGTGGAACCTCAGGCCCGACTTGGTTCCTCAGGCCCAGCCCCGTCCCTCGCACCTTTGCTGTGCCCTCCTCCGGCTTCGAAGCCACTGCAGGAAAGGAATGAAGATGTACAGGACTAACTCCGCGGGAACGCTGTCTGCCTGCCTCTGACCTTCCTACCTGTAATAGACAGCCCCGCGTGGGAGCAGCAGGGCCGGGGCAGTACCTCCTGGGCTATTACAGGAGTTGACCTCAGTGAAGCCCACCTTTGGTTGGTACAGGTAAAGAGGAATGCTACGTTTACAAAATGAAACTGACCAAGATCTGAGGGCCAATGAAGGAGCCTTTTTTTGGTACATCCTAAGTTATAAAGGGAACCAAACAGTCTCTGTCATGTTTTCTGTCATTACCCAAAAAGAAATATTTTGCAAAATTTAAGATAAAATATCAAGTTGTTTATCCCAC